ACATCAAAATATGACTAAGCTTTTTTTTTGTCTTTTAAATGAGAAGAGCTACGAGGTGACCAGAAGATTTGAAATGCATTGTTAAGGTTTACTAGAAAAAATGATGGTTGGCTAGTCTCCAGACAGTGTGACAACTATTGGAAAACAATTTATTAAACATTTTTCCAGTGCTCTTTGGTATTTGGATCCTCACCATAATAAATTAGCCTCTAAAAGTATTCATCTCCGAAGCAAATTTGTTGAATTCCAAGGATTTAATGATGGAAAAAATTAAGCAGCCTGTTATTGCTAGCCCTGATCTTGATTGTCATATTCAAACTTTGAGTGGAATTGTATTCCAGCCATGGATAGCAAAGACCGAATATATAAAGAATTAAAATCACTTTGGGAAAGGTTGTAGATAATACCATGTACAAATACAAGAGCTATCTTGACAAGAAAAATGAAACACTTCAAACAACTGATAAAAAAAGTAATAGTGCTAGAGTAGTGTCTCGCGTGTTATAAATTCGTTCATTACAAACTCCCACTGGAGCTACTGATGAAAGGTACAAATGTTTTGTGGAGGCACTGTCTGAGAAAGCCGGCTATGAGGCAGTGTGCCTTAACGATATTACACCATCAGATCATTATCAAAGACGACAATAGAGTGATAAAATACAATAATCTTTTCGTAATGTGATGTACCAATGTCCCTATAGAAGTCACTTAGGTGTTGTAACGTTTCTATGGAAAATTCCACATGAGGTTGATCAAACTAAAGCTTCTCGACTAGTTTGTAGGCTTAATGACAGTCAGAAGCTATATGCTTCCAGAGAAATATGAAAAGAGTTTCTTGATAAACACTATACCTTAACAAAAATAAATGTATGCCCAAACAGATGATCCTGAATTTATATATGATTTACGAAAACTAAATAGTAAACCTAGTTCAAGCACGTTTGATTTTTGGAGGGGGCGGGGGGGGGGAGGGGGGAAATAAACTTGGTGCTTACTTTTAAGAATTGACTCCAGCAGTAGATGACAGACGACACTCAGAAACTACTAATTTGCCAGTTGCTATTTCATTGCATCACTTAGTGCAGATAGTAAGGAAGAGGATTGAACAGAAGTATCCTGGTGCTGAGAGTAAGTTTGAAGTTTCCTCACTGGAATTGTCATACCTTCAATTTTGGCCACGTAATCCTTATTCAGCATCTTCATTAAGAAACACAGGGCGAGTAAATTTGAAGTTTGGTGTACAAATTTGTCAGCTTCGTCACAGTCATGTCGATTCATGATATGTTATTGTTATTTTAAGGTAGTTTTAGCATAAGGTCCCAGTCCAGTTGCTTTAGATCACGATTTTCATGTTCATGGGTCAGTGCCATCTGTGTCTTTCATGGTTGACATTCTAGACACACCTCAAGATTCTTTCTATCATTGAAAAGTCTTTGTGGGGTTAAAAGACAAAGTTACTCAACCTTCATCAGCTTTGCAGTATTGTACAGAAGTGGCAGCTCCTCTTCAAACACACTTTAGCGATCATCGCACTTTTGTAAACAAGCCTTTTCTTGTGACAATGAGTGAAGGAGGACCAGACCACTGTATTAATTTTGTTTCTATATACCTGGCTTTGATCGGTCTTTTCATGTCTTTGGACCTGGATATGATGGTTGTTGGGCGTACCTGCCCTTATCAATCTTGGCAAAGTCTAGTGGAGTGTGTCACGTCTAATTTATATTTGTCATTAGTGAACATTGCACTTCTCAGGAAGGAATTGCCAGAAGAGCTAGACAAAATCCTTCATAATAAAAAGATTCTCACCGAAGTAGTCGCTCAAAATCCGGTATCGAATGAGTCTTTTTTTTGGGATGCAATGCAGCAAGCGATATACACATTATCACAACGTTTCAGTAGAATGAAAATAAAGGGAAAACCTGTCCAAATTACTCCAGCTTCTAACAAGTTTGAATTATCTCATTTTTGAGAACTAATTTTTGAAATACAGCCTAACTTGTCATTTGAAAATATCACCCCAAAAACTCTGTTGGAACCTGATAAAGAGCCTCTTCGAAAACTTATGCATACTCATTGCAGTGTAACAAAAATATTTGTTCTAAGTTAAAAAAATGTTTGGATTCAGAATGTGAGTATTTTACCAAGCATCTTATTATGATGCTTATGGAAAAATTAAAAAAAAAATTATCGTTTGTCTCTTTACCTCTGATGTCTGATATTGACAAGTGTGCAAACTTTGCTGACCTTTATGGATAGCCTGTGAATGAAAAAGGCTGTCCCTCTGGAAAACCGGCTTCACATGTTGCAGAAGTAGATAAAAAAAGAAGAAAGAGTGTACTAGTAGGCTGCAAAATTCGATGTGTTTCGAGCGTTGTGTATACTATAAGTATAAGCTAACTCAATAAAAAAAATTAACTTTGGAAATGGTGAAACATACTCTTCTTTAACCATGTAATTCAGTTGTATTTTCTCCGGATTCACCATTTTATGATACTGTTTGTATCAAAGAAAGTTTGACTTGTAGCGCTCCTACTGAACTGTGTTACTTTTCTGCAGCACTGGTTCACTTTCCATTGGTATGTTACTGGTGTGGTATGTCAGAAAAGTCACTATGAGAGACACTGATTACGCTGAACTTTTACTCATCATTCTTTAAAATGCACTAAAGCGCAGGAAGACTACTAACTGATTTAGCTGCATATACAGTACACAGTTTTAACTTCTGTAATATTTTGTTGTTGTTTCTTTAATCTCAATAAGTGCATCTAAAAGTGATGTTACCATTCAAATTTTTAGGCCAACAGGAGCTCGTGAAACATATAATTAAGTTGAAATGGCCTAACCTACACGACACACATTGTATCATATAAGTAACCCTAAACGACCCACATTTTATCACAGATAGATAACCCTAAACCAACAGGTCTCGACCCAAACTTGGTTCGTCATAATGTGTGAAAAGATAGTAATAGATTTAAAAAAAAGATAACAGTTTATCTATTTAGTAACCTAGATGTTTCTTGCACTCAAACTATTTACTGGGATACGAATGGTTATCAATGTTTACAAATAGGTTCCGAGCTAAAAAAACTTAAAAACAACTTGCCTAAACGACACGCATGTTGTTATAAAAGTTTGGTACCTTTGATAATGCACCTCGTTAGAACAGGCTATCAGTTCGATCTTGTCCAAAATATTCCATAACGTTGGCTTAACATGATAAATCATGACATAGTTTTGGCTGTAGCCTCAACCTCCGCAAGTGTTTAGTTTTGTTTGTTGCTGTTCAGATATCACATGTTTGAAGAAAATCAAAATGATATTAATTCGATAATAACCCAAAACAAAAATCTTTAACCTAAATAATTCAAGTTTTTTTACTAGCAGCTATCTCACGTGTCAAACAGAAACATCGTAGTTTTCCAAGAACCAGTACACTACATTAACAAGTATCAAAAACTCCATTTCTCTGTTCCTCTTCTTTTTATCGACGTGCAAGTGGTACACGCTTAAGCAATTTTTATCTAGAATCAACACTGTTAGTGTTGCTAAGTTTATTAAAGTTTACTTGTAGTACAACTCTACGCACTATCAGGTATAATTTTAAACTAAAAAGCATAAGTTACTAATTATAAAATGGCGATTTATCGTAAATATTTTAGACGGTCCTCACTTTCATCTTTTTCAGAGCGACTAAGTTCAGATGGTTCAAAATTTTGAAATGAAGGCACTTTATGACAAATTAATGTACTGCAATTGCCAGTTAGTCCATGAATTTAGCTTTTTACTTGTACAATCGGTCCATTAGGTTTAAGTTAGGTCGTAGGTTTTGCTATCGTTTTCATTTGTTTTTTTTTCTTCTCCAGATGATTCTAAGTATTTATCCACACACATGGTAGTATGCTGTGCCGCCAAAACAACCTGTAGGGCACAGCGATTTCCACCTTCTGTATCTCGTACTGTGGTAATCCAAACTACTGTTCTACTGGACTCCACATACCAAATTTCACGGCAATCCTTCAAGAAATACCTGTGATATAACATCTCCAATCTTGACTGAATTTCTTCCATTTCTTTTTCTTCGCATCGAAGGTACGGAAGCTTTATTTGACAGAAAAATATACTTAACAAAAACGCGGTTATAGCTAACTAATGAATGAATATTTGCTGTAGAATTCTTATCAATGCTATAAGTATAGCTACCAATTTGGCCGTCAATTTTGATTTCATTCCTTTAAGTCTCACGCACAGTACTTTGTTGGCCGCACCTTTTTTTTTCACACCTAAGGTGTTTTTGATTAGATAATAACTTACAAAGTTGCATTATTTTACAATGTTCTTCGTCCTTTTTTTTTTTGTAAGTGCTTTATGCTTCAAGTCTTACTAGCTCACTTCTGCCTCTCAATGACAACAATCTACAACTGACTGAAATAATTAAAGTGCTTTAAATGATTTTACTTAGGCCTAAAAAGCCTTACTGCTTCGCCATCTTAGGTGGTTTACATCACTATAATAACAAAACTGTACATAATAGTTATGGGGATTTTATAGCCATTTTTAACTCACCATGCAGTAATCTAAATTAATTTGGTGTGTGAATAACACGTGATTACATGTTGAGTTGAAAATGGCTTTAAAACTCTATAAATATTATATACACATTGCCATTATGAAGGGCCTAACTGAATTTCTTTGGTTTCCTGACCTAACCTGTGCTAATGAGCCTTGAATAGGCGAAACTGCAGTCCACAACAGAGGGTAAAAGCCTGGCATCTTCTTACTGTGATATCCTTTACAATACACAATCTATACTGTATTCAAAAACAAACACTTAAGAGTTTTAGACAAAACATAAATTATCCTATTACGTTTATTACCAGCATGGTGAGTTTAAAATATTTCTACAGTAAACACGAAAGATTATTTTCGTACATGAATGACAAACAAATTCTGAGCTAGATTCACATTTGAATCACGGGAAAAAAGAAATGTTCACTTACACGTGAGGCGGCAACTCGTAGAAATTCACGTTTCTATACTGATCTACATATTCTTTTTGGTAGATTCCCAAGTCCTTGTAAGGGTTAACAGATACCAACACAGATCCAATATAAGTCTATAGATTTAAAAAAATATAGTATAAGTTGATTTATCTCTTGCATTATCATACTATAATAACACAGTTCAGATATAAATCTGTAGATAAAACAACACAACATTACACTCGCTACAGCATATTTTGTTTTTTTTGTTGAAGTTTGCACAAAGCTACTCGAACCTAATTTTGAAGTGATAGACTAGATAAAGGGCAGCTAGTCAACACCACCCACCAACAACTTTTGGGCTACTCTTTACCAACGAATAATGGGATTAACCATCACATTATATCGCCCCCATGGCTGAACAGGCGAGCATGTCCATTGGTGAGATTTGAACATGCAACCCGCAGATTGCGAGTCTAGTGCATTAACCATCAGGCCGCTACAATAAGAATTTCTCTCCCATTTTTTACACCACCCATCACTAAATAACGGACTTTTTCTTAGTCTTGCAAGAAAAGCCATCATTAAATAGTGAAATTAATTTCGCTTTGTCGTTTTTATTTCAATAGGATTTTAAAAAGTATATAATATATTCTCACTTCTAGTTTAGTGTAATTTACTTGAACGGATCAGCCAAGTCTTAAAAAAAAATAAAGTTCATATTATTCTGGAACGTTTTCTTGCTAATCGCCTGTTAAACTCAAAGTATTTCTTTCTCACTACCTAATAATATTCGGGTGATTGTATTCTGTTAATTACCAGATAAATTAAGAACAGGACGAACGTTTAAAATGCAGAATAAAAATTGTATTTGACCACAATTAAAAAGACTACACGTTTCGGTAACTTTACGTTACAATCATCAGGAGTAAAAACCTACGTGACAAGTGGGTAGTTTTATAAAGAAAAAGTTTAATTCATTGTAATCCATGAAGGTGGTATGACTGTTGTATATAAGAAGTCAATACTTATTTCCAAAACTGTGCATTATCGCCAGCTAAGATTTCTTCTCTATTTGACAAAGAATTATCTAATTTACAGCAAAAAATTTCTATTGATTCTCGAATATTCAATTCACTTAGAGTTTTAGGCTCACTTAAAACTGTTTCATACCATTGTATTGAATGACCTGTTTCGACAATGTGTTCGGCGAGAGGATAAATTGACTGTTAGAAAATCAACATGACATAATTAAAAACTGTTTAAATTACTCAGAAATGATGATTTATCTATAGTATGGCTGGTGTACAGCCGATTTAAATAGTTCTTTCTATTTTTGCCCATAATTGTGTTACGTTTGGGTTACATAAAATAATTATTAAACCGAATTATTAAACTTACGTAAATGAGATTTTCTTTGAATCTTTTCTTCAAGTTTTCTATGAAACTTTTCTCATTTCGGTAGTCTTCTAGCAGCACAAAGTCCTGCACCCCAACCCGATCCCGGGCGTGCAGGGCATTCTCCATTATTTCCTATTATAAAACAGAAAAAAAAATAATCATGAGGACACGAGCAAAGAATGATTACAATTGAAAAACCATATGCTTTTCAAAAAGGGAGACTTTTATTTTCGGGGTTTCAATTAAGGAAGCTGATAATCAGAGGACTTTCGGAAAACAGACCTTCTTCAGGCATTTCAAGAAGCATGATAACCAAAATGGTTTTAAATAATAAACCTTCCTTATTCAAAGGTTAATTGAGAAAACTTAATGAAAAATCCCAATTCAACCCCTGAAGAACGAAGGTCTTTCTGAAATGCTTTGATTACCATGTTTCTTGAAACTACTGAAGAGGATCTTCTGACAACGCTCGAGGTTTTTCAGTTGTGTTTTTCTTAACACTACTTATTTCAAACACTCATAAAAAAAAAAAAGACAACGGGCACATTTTGTGGCCGGGAAGCGTGTATAGAATTTCTATATTCTCCACTTGAAAAAGTTGATAAGTTGAATACAATGTAAGGATAACTTTACCCGATGAAACATGCGCACAGACATGCATATGTATATTGTTGGACAGGCACAGGAGATAATTACACTACAATTTTTTTTTGGCGTACAAATTACAAAATGTGCACGAAATATTTTAAAGTCAGACCAAACAACGATTTGTCTACGGATTAGTTATTTCAGAAGTTTTGTTATCAATAATTAAAAACGTGCGAGTACAACAGTGTACGCATGCGCATTTCTGAGTTTTATTGCAAGTCTCGAATAGAAAACAACAGTTCAAGTGCACTCGTTCCTAATGTAAGACTGGTTTCGATTACAGTAGTTATCTCCTAAAATGGGCATTTATCCGCATTATTTGACAAAGACAAACAGGTTATCTAAAAAATAATTTATTCACCATTAATCGAGCACGAAGTGACCAAACATGTAGGTTGTGACATATAGTTTGGGGCTATTCCGGTCTTCAAGAAAACTTAGTTTAACGGTCAGGTAATGTAAAGCAGAATTTCTGTAAACTCAAATTTTTACTGCATTTTTAAACAACTAAGATCAGTTTACATACTTGTAAAAACCAAGAATAAAGATGAAAGCAATATTGAGTTGCAGAATTCCGTAATACCACTCGCTTCCTCCCCCACCCTCTCCTCCTGGTACACGACAAAAAGATCAAGGTTGATTTTTAAGAAAAATTAAGAACTTAAAATACTGCTAACTGAACACATAAAAGGAAATCTGTTAATACAGGTATAAATAGAAAAAATGTTCAATTGACTAACAATCAACCAGAAAAGCACTGGCGTTTTACCACAGAAAAAACATTATATCAAATTTACGAAAGCGTACTTTAATACTAAAAGAACGCACCAGATATCGCAAAACTATATTAAAAGCAATTACTCATGTCATATTACCATGGTATAAACATGCTTATTATATCTAACTGTTTATATTAACGAAAAGTTTTTCTTTGTTTTCAAAATAATAACTTAAAAAACAGTAAATGTTTTCGACAAAAATTGAAACAGCCCGCGTATTTAACACATTAACGACATATACTGATCACCCAGATTTTCATATGTAATTTGGAGCATAAAAATAAATATTATTATATGACAGGAACACTATGTTTTTGCAACATATATAGATACAACAAAAGAAAAATTAAGGACAGATATTAAGCAAATATTTCTACTATAGTTAACCAATGTAAAATATTACAAACTCTAAAACCTAACTTACTTCAGCCACATAACATGATGTGCCCATTTCGCCTCATACCACATGGTGTGCCCATTTCGCCTCATACCACATGGTGTGCCCATTTCGCCTCATACCACATGATGTGCCCATTTCGCCTCATAACACATGATGTGCCTATTTCATCTCGTACGACGTGGTACGCTTATTTCATCTCGTACGACGTGGTATGCTTATTTCAGTCATACAACGTGGTGTGCCTATTTCATCTCATACAACATAGTGTGCCTATTTCATCTCATACCACATGATGTGCCTATTTCAGTCATACAACATAGTATGCATATGTGTAACTATTTCAGCCCATATCACATGATGTATTTCTATACAGGTGTACATTTATCTAACCACGACATGCTTTTATTGTATACTATATATACCAAGAACTAACCACGACATGATTTTATTGTATACTATATATACCAAGACCTAACCACGACATGCTTTTATTGTATACTAGATATACCAAGAATTAACCACGACATGATTTTATTGTATACTATATATACCAAGAATTAACCACGACATGATTTTATTGTATACTAGATATACCAAGAAC